CCCCTCCTCCCCCCGCCCCCTCAGCTGATGTACTACATGAAGCACGCACGGTTCACGGTGCCACACACAAATGAAGAGATCTACTTCGACGACGGGGAAGCCCAGGGCTACTATGACATCATCAACTGGCAGGTCAACAGTGGTGGTGAAGTGTCCTTCGTCACCGTGGGTCAATACAACGGCTCCGCGGCTCCACAGGACAGGATGACCATAGCCAACGGCTCCATCATCTGGAACAACGAGGTTCTGGAGGTCAGAGGATTATTAATCTGATCAGGACAGACACGTCTGTACTGCGCTGCTCCAACAGACGGTGGTGTGTGTCGGTAGTACATCTGTTGCCTGTGTTGCAGCCCCCCCGGTCGGTGTGCAGCGAGAACTGTCAGCCCGGCACCAGGAAAGGGATCCGACAGGGGGAGCCGGTCTGCTGCTTCGACTGCATTCCCTGCGCTGACGGAGAGATCAGCAACTCCACCAGTTAGACCCCTCCCCCCTCCCCCCGTACTGCTATTTATACTGCATTAGTACACACGAGTACTCACTCCCTGTACTCTCTGACAGATGCTCGTGAGTGCGTCCTGTGCGGAGAAGATGATTGGTCCAACGAAGCTCACGACACCTGCATTCCCAAAATCATCGAATTCCTGTCGTACGCAGAGGCGCTGGGAATCACACTGATTGCCCTCAGTGCAGCTGGAGCGTTAGTCACCATCACAGTCGGGGTAACAGAAACACAGAAACACAGGAAGTTGAAGCTCTGCTTGATGACATCACAGAATATTTAATAACAATCAAAATAACTAGGGATGAACCATATTCACTTTTTGCCGATATCGTCCAAACACGTACCGATGTAGGCCCAGGAATATTTATTTATTTATCTGTACAAACCTATGTATGAGTATGAGTGAGCTGCAATGCTGCCATCTAGTGGCCTTTGCTTTAATATACAGCTGTTTATCCCCAAACTATTTTTAGGACACACATCATTTGGTAAAACCCAGACATTGCGTTATCGGGTTTTCGTTGTCAGATCTTACAGATGTTACATAACATGCTAATATCGAGCCGATAATATCAGTCGGCATCCCTCAATATAACACAGCTGTAAGTCAATACAGTATGATATTCCAGTATTTACAATGTACTACATACAGTAAATGAATACTAACGAAGGAGTCGCAGTATCGTGTATTTGACCTACTTCAACATTTGTGTCTGTGATGTTTGACGTTTTTTCCAGGTGGTGTTTTTCCTCCACATCAACACTCCGATGGTGAAGGCCAATGACGCTCTGCTGAGCTTCTCGCTCATCTTCTCGCTGGTCGTGACCTTCCTCTCTTCTATCGTCTTCCTCGGTGAGCCTCAGGAGTGGAACTGCATGACCAGCCAAGTGGGCCTGGCTCTGGGCTTCGCCATCGCCCTGTCCTCCATCATGGGTGGGTGGTCCCACCCTCAGAGAACCTCCCCCCCCCCCGGCACCAGGGTGGACACCACAGTAACCCTGTAAATCTCTTCTGTCACTTCAGCTAAAGCGTCGGTGTTGATGCTCAGGGCCCGGTTCCAGAAGAGGCTCCGGGCTCGAGCTAAAGCTGCGGCTAAAGCCGCCAAAGAGGCCGCTGTAGCTGCAGCAAGCGGCGACGGTCCTGACGTCATCGTCACCAGCACGGTTACCAACAACGATACGAATGTCCTGGAGGAACCAGAGGTTGATGTTCTCACCGCTGTCCACCAGAGGGTGATGGTCGCCGGTGCAACGTTAATACAGGTACCTCCACGCGGAATAGAACCTGTGACCACGCGGTGACAGAGACGTGATGATGTCACTGAGCTGTTGTTGTTGTTGATGTTGTTGTTTTTGATGTTGTTGTTGTTGACGTTGTTGTTGATGTTGTTGACGTTGTTGTTGATGATGATGATGTTGTTGTTGTTGTTGATGTTGTTGTTGTTGATGTTGTTGTTGATGTTGTTGTTGATGTTGTTGATGTTGTTGACGTTGATGTTGTTGTTGATGATGTTGTTGTTGATGTTGTTGTTGATGTTGTTGTTGATGTCGTTGTTGATGTTGTTGATGATGATGTTGTTGTTGTTGTTGTTGATAATGATGTTGTTGTTGATGTTGATGATGATGTTGTCGTTGTTGTTGTTGATAATGATGTTGTTGTTGATGTTGATGATGATGTTGTTGTTGTTGTTGTTGTTGTTGATGAAGTTGTTGATGATGTTGATGATGTTGTTGTTGTTGACGTTGTTGTTGTTGATGTTGTTGACGTTGATGTTGTCGTTGTTGTTGTTGACTGCAGGCCATCCTGTGCACAGTGTGGCTCATCGTCTTCCCTCCTCACCCGTTCAAAAACACCAAGACCCAGGTGGACTACATCTACCTGCAGTGCGCCAGAGGCTCCGACGTCCTCATGTGCATCGTCTTCGGCTACGACGTCCTGCTGGCCTTCGTGGCCTTCGTTCTGTCCTTCTTAGCCAGAAAGCTGGAGGACAACGCCAGGTAGGAGACAGTTACAGGTGTAGACCATCGGTGCAGCCACCAGCCAATGACGACGATGGACGATAAACCACATTTATTTACGACAGGTCGGCCCGATAAGTATATCGCGATCTAGTAGTGAATCGCAAAGGGAGTTCTGGTGGATCATGAGGAACTGAATATAATAAATATATACATTGACGTCGTCAACGCAGGTGGATGACGTCAGTCTGGTTATTTGAACAACATTTATTGTTGTCTAGTTACTGTACTTACAGTACTTTGATTTTTGGCTGTGTACGGAAGCCCTGGAGGGACACAGAGGGGGCGGAGTTTGTGATGCTCATCTGAAAGTTTACGGTGAACGTAGTTCATGTTGGTCCGGTGTGTGTGTGTTTCAGAGAAGGGAAGTCTCTGACCTTCAGCCTCCTCGTCTTCTTCATCGTGTGGATAGCCTTCGTCCCGGCCTACCTCAGCACGGTCGGGAAGTTCATGGTGGCCGTTCAGATATTCGCCATCTTGGCCTCCAGCTTGGGCATGCTGATCTGCATCTTTCTGCCCAAGTGCTACGTCATCCTGGTGAAAGCTGAACGCAACACAGAGGAGACGATGAAACCGAGACCGAAACCGCGGGACGGCTCCTCCACCGGAACCTCGGCCTCACTGTCCACGGTCGCTACGACAGTGACCACAGCAATCGATTAGAAAGAAACGGAGAAAAAACTGGACCAGAACACCTTTACCCCCCAACCCTCCCCCAAAATATAGAAGCGCGTTTTTATTTACCATTTGTACTTTACTTAAAAATGTGATTAACTCACATTATATACATGTAATGATTATTTAATAATTGATCATCCAGAGGAAAGGAAAGTGCTACCTCAGATATTACATAAAACAAATAAAACATAAACAAATACAAATGTATTTAATTAAAAATGTATTTTAAATTTTAATTAAATATAAAAACACAGCAGTCAAAGCACAATTAAATGAATTCCCCGCTGATTAACCTGGTGTGATGTTCTAGAATTTACGTGATTCAAAATATGATTCAAATGTGATTAAAAATGTACCGTTTGTGAAGTTTTTAGTCAAAGTTAAATCGTCATCGATGACGTTTCGGGTTAAAACAATTTTATACAGACATTAACTGTAAACTGTTGACATGAGACAGAAAGTAGTGCAATAAAAATATATATTTAGTGACAACAAACCACGCTTGGTCTCCTCGTTAAAGTATCGAATCTTCTGTTTACAGTTTAAATTAAACGTAGAAACAAAATGTCGCCTCGGTCGGAACTTTTATTAAGTAAAAAAGAACGGATTTAAAGATCCTTCCGCTCAGTCCCACCGTGGATCTGCAGGGAGTTTTCTTCGTCTTTGTTTTAAATGTTGTTGCTCAAAACCTTTTCCTGTTTGTCTAGTCTTAAAATGGCGCATAACCTGCCCCCTAGTGGCTGTGTACTTGTACTGCTAGTTCAATAGATCAATCTTGATCAAACACCCTTTGGTTCAGTCATATCCAAAGTAGAAATATATGTTGTTGTGCTGAGCAGTTTGAATTGTATCTGTGGTTTATTTTTATCAGTGAAAAAAAGTTCAGGACATTTTTAAAAAAAATATCTGTGGTTTATTTTTATCAGTGAAAGAAAGTTCAGGAATTTGTTTTTTTTAAACTCCTGTTGTGGGGACACTTTGCAGGATTTGTGTGTGTGTGTGTGTGTGTATCAGTTTGCTCCTCAGTGGTGTTTCAGGACAGAGAATCTGCAGGACAGACCTGCTCCGTACTAGAGTTTCCCTCTTGATGACAGTGACGCGGAGCACACGTCAGATTAGTCTCATTTTGTCAGATTAACCTTCTCACAGAGCGACCGTGTCTCAGTGACAACAAACCGGTGAGATCAGAGGTCACCGAGGTCACCGAGGTCAACAGTGACATCATCCTGCTGTACCTCTCTCCTTCATCTGCAGCAGCGTCTGTGAACCGTTAAATCAGTACTGACCTTAATTTTGATTTAATTTTTCTTAATCTCGCGCACCCTCTAGTGGCCGCTCGGGAACACCTGATGTGAATCAGACATCATAGCACGGCTCACTGTGTGCACGTGTCCTTAGACTTTGCATTAACCCCGTGTACTGGTACTCATAAGTACTACTGAATACTTTAGTGAAGTAGGGTACATGTATTTGTCCTTCGTCGGTTCGGACTCGGAGCAGAGCGATCTCCAGCTCTTATTTCTGCTGTGAATAATTAAGTAGCGACGCTCCATCACTGATTTATTCACTTGACCTCAGCGGACACCGATCTCCTGCTGGACGACCGTCCTTCGACTCGGCTTCACTGGAGCTAATTTAATGGACAGAGACGTCAGTTATGGACGGAGTTTAAACATCAGGGTCACGTGACACATCATGGCGTCATGACAACCCCCACTCTCCCCCCCCTTCTTTGGTTCTGTAGTGTAACAGATATAGTGCCTGACTCACAAATCTGCCTTACATGCACAAGGTCCTGGGTTCGATCCCCAGAGGAAGTACCTGGTCAATGGCGCCTCCTGTGGCAGCTTGGACTCACACTGTGATTTTCCTCATATTGACAAATAAGAGACTCATATTTATTATATATATAACCAATATTTATTTAAATTTTTCTTCTTCTCTCGCTCTTCTCTAGGTCACACTTGTTTGTTTGTTTTATTAACGTTGACCTTAAAACAGGTGTGAAACTGTTTTATGTCCAGTATGTGTGAACCTTGGCAGAGAACGAACGTCCGTCTCTAAATCTGTCCTCACACGTTTCACCGTCCGCTCCTCACCAGGGCTGGTGTTCAAACCCCGGTACGGTTTGGAAAGGTGTAAATCTGCGTCTCTCTCACAACAGCATGGACCCTGACGTCAAGACGCGCGGCGTTAAGACACGGAGACCACGGAGTGGTCTGAGGGTGGGGTAAATATAGAGTCTGAACATAAAGAAACATTTGCAGCCAGAGCCGGCTCTTGGCAAAGGAAGGTGCCTAGGGTGCCACCTGCTGGAGGGGTCAGCACTATAAATAAGAAATAAAATAAATAATAGTAATAATTTACAGCCGTGATCAGAAAATGTTTCTCCAGCTCTGCCTTGAAAAAAAAAGGTATCAATTCAACGATTAACTTTTATAACTTTTTTTGGAGCAGTCAGAAAAAATGACATGGTATCGATGGTATTTCTATATTGCTGTGTTGACGTTGTGTCTGTGACTGAAATAGAAAATATGAACGACTCTATGATAAAAGTCAGTGTGTGTGTAAGTGTGTGTGCGCACGTGCATGTGTACGTGCACACATTGTGGACACCCTGGCATGTTTTCTCCCTCCCTTAAGGCCAGTGATGAGACGGGAAACGAGGATCTTGTTTCAGACTGGATGAGACTATAAAAGACCAGGGAGCAGTCAGAACACACACACACACACACAAGGAAACACACACACACACACACACACACGGAGGGGACTGGACCATCGGTGATCTGGACCATCGGTGATCTGGACTGTTTTTGAAGTGAAGACCTGAGTCTCGTCCCTCCTCAAGTGCAGGGCTGTATAATCTGTATAATCTGTATAATCTGGGACAATGTTAGCCGCTAGTCGGAGCGGTGGAGTCGGGGGGGCGCACCCCCCTTTTCACCGTAAACACTCAGTTGCCTCCCTGAGCGGGGCAAAGGCCCACCGCAACTCCCAGGATACCAGGCGCAGTTCCTCCGTCGCCAAGCAGGCGGCGCACAACAGGCAGAAGGCCACGCTGATCAGGGAGATGGAGACCACCTGGTACCTGAAGATGTTCGGCCTCGGGAAGGAGGAGACGGTGGCGACCAAGACGGGGATGCCCTACAGGTCAGTGAGTGTTAACCTGGTGGTAACCTGGTGTTAACCTGGTGTTAACCTGGTGTTAACCAGCGACCTGGAGCCTCGTTAAACCATTAACTACTGACGAACATGTTGACGAGAAGGAGCGGGAAGTAGTTCATCACACACCCACTCCTGCAGGGGTCACTGTGATAGTTAGTTGACTGTGGAACAGTGTGCTGAGTTAGTTAGTTAGTTAGTTAGTTAGTTAGTTAGTGAGTGAGTTAGTTAGTAGTGTCGTCGGCCGCTGGTTAAAAACACAGACTGTGGGACAGACATGTTTATTTGGTGATGCAGTGCTGCCAGGTGTCCAGCAGTGGCAGTGTGGTGTACTGCACCCCAGTGGAAACATCACAGACACAAAAGAAAAACACAGAGAATGACGTGGTGTTTTCACTGACTGTGATTGGTCCAGGCTCAAACAAGTCACTGTCTCTGACTCCACCTTGAAAATGTTGTAAAATATCAATATGATGATGATGATTATTATTATTATTATTATTATTATTATTATTATTAGTAGTAGTAGTAGTAGTAGTAGTAGTAGTAGTAGTAGTAGTAGTAGTAGTAGTAGTAGTAGTAGTAGTAGTAGTAGTAGTAGTAGTAGTAGTAGTAGTAGTAGTAGTAGTACTTTCTTCTGTACTTCTACTGTGGTACTGCTCTGCTGTTGTGTAAATGTAGTGAAACACAGAGGAATCAGTGACATCCACCACTCTCCTCACCTCATTAACACCACCCGTCTGTAAATGAGGGTGTGTGTGTATGTGTGTGTGTGTGTGTCACTGCAGTGAACACTGAACACACACACA